CAAGATTTAATCTTGGTATTCCTCGCATAACATTGATAACATTTGCTATTTTAATTCTAGCACGGTTGTCATAACATCGCTATTTTTGAACAACACAGCTCTTTCTTTCTCCCTCTCATCATTTCTTTTACCATTATCGTTACTCGTTCCTCGATTTATCCTAATATAATATCAAAGTATGAAACTTTAGGCTTGATCTCTTTCATCTTTTTAGTTGCAAACTCAACCTCCCAAAACAATAATGATTTTTTATTGCTGGTTAGTGCGCTAGAAGTCTAAATTTTAAAATGTTCATATGATTATTTAAGAGATTAACGTCATAATTTTCATTCGCCGTCGATTTGGTTCACATTATCAATTGGTTATATCTAGTCCTTCACATATCATTAAAAGGGAAAATTTTTAAAAAAATTTATTCTATTCAATGGCAAACAGTTGACACCCGCTTAATTTCGCTATAACAAGATATCGTTTTCTTGATTGAATATTAGCATTTTACTTATCATTTTAATAATTATATATGAGCTAAAATCATTTTTATAAATTTAGATTCTCTTAAAAGATGTTAATTGTATATTCAGTGAAGAAAACTACGAAGGAAAGATAGAGAATATAAATTTCACAAAGTAATGAATTATTACGATGGCTGGAATTTAAATTATCAGCATAAAATGTACTATGCGTTAGAGGTGTCTTGAAACGAATCTCATAAAATTCTATGAAGGTTTTTTTTTTTTTTGGCCAATCATAAAATAGTACGAGGTTGCTCACATCGCAGGTACTTCTCATAAACTGATTGCCCCGAAGGTTGCTGGGTTCTATTTAGTCATTTTAAAACAAATTATCTTAGCTCTAACGGAGCTCCGGTTAAAGTTGCATGGCCTGGGCCCAATTCTTCAAACACAGCCACCCAGCACAGTCATATCGCCTATTTAATTATTTTATTGCATACAAAAACGTGAGCTTCGAAAGAGACTAGCAAAGGTTGGTAAAAAGATTTCACCAACAAACTTTGCACCGACTGCTACCAAGAGGCAAGAACGTCTCTTGTTCTTTTGCTGCTTCGTGCGAGCAGAACTGAGACAAATTCAAGCCTTTGGCGGCACGTCATATGATGACAGGATCCGAATCTTCCTCCCAAACAGAGATAAATCGCAGGGGGCAAAGAGCAAATCATTTCTAGAAACAAAATTCTCTCTCTTTTTTTTTGGTACTGCTGCTACGATGTGCATATATATATATCATCTGCATCAGCTCGCAAAAGGCTTATACATTAATACTCTTTCTTCAATTTCGGGATAAATAGAGATTAAAAAAATGAACATATAAAACTCGTGTTTTTACAATCCAAGCCTCATTTATAGAAAGCTGTTCTGCTGCCGGTACTTAAAGCTGTCTGCCTCTTATAGGCTCTAAAAGTTGAAAGTTCCTTTACGCGAAAAAACGCCTTTGGCTAAAGATTATCAATATTCTCTCCTTGCCAATACTTAAGGCTGGTAGTACATACGTATAAAGTATAAAATAAACTAATGCCATTGGCGAAGGATAAACCCAAGCGCACTCATACAAGTAAACAATCTTTGTGAAAGATTTCAGGCAAGAAAGCCTGGCTAGGTCGGTCTTATTATTTTATTATTTTTGTGTGAAGTGGGGGGAGCTGGTGATCAATCTCTCATCATAAAGTAAGAGCCTGTAAGTGGTTATGAAAAGAAAGCTTGGCTGATCAAGTGTGGGCCTAGTAGGCGTGCACTGGGCGTCTTTGACTTGGCTGAATTTGAGATCGTCCTCTAGAACCAAGCTTTTGTGCTCCGACTCAGTAATCCATAAAATCCTCTTTGGTCTAGGCCTGAATATAATCGAAAAAGACAAAACCAAGCACTAGAGGCTAAGGATTGAGCTCTATTTAAAGGCATAGTGGCTAAAGGTCTGAACAGCTTGGTGATAAGAAAAACAAAAATCTCCACACTATTCAATTTCCATTGCATGGCTAAAAGACGAACAGAATAAGAAACATTATCATCCATCAGCAACATCATCCACATGTTCTCTTGTTATTAAATAAAAAGCAAGTTGACAAATTTAGTTCTTGTACTCTAAACTCTTGCCCCTTGCTTCTTAGCAGAGTCATTTGATCCTGACCATGTATGCATTAATTTGTGTCCATCCTGCCGTTTAGAAAACAGAAAAACTGCAACTGAGGTAATCTATGAGTCTATCTCAATATTCAAAGGCTGAAGATGTACAGAAGAAGGCATTTCCGAATTCACAAGGTGGGTTGACCACTAGAAATTTTAGAGCTATAAATGTGTTTCAACAAGAGGCTCTTGCATTCCACAAACATATTGGCATGAAGCAAGCAAGCACTAGCAAATTTGACATGTAAAATTTGTGGGCACTAATAAAAGAGAGAAAAGGTGCGAGTTCAATCACATTCAATAACAAACTTTGAAATTCCCAGAATACAGTTACAAATTGTTGCCGAGGCCCCAAGAAAAAAGGAATTAATTCCTGATGTCTGTAGCCAAAGAATGGAAACTCTCTGGTTTCCAAAGACGGCTTTAAGATAACTGTTCTCCTAATCAACAGGCAAAAAACCCCTTCATTAGAAGAGATGCAAAGCATCTTTAAGGGCAATTACGGGGGTCCTCTTTATTAGAAGAGATTGCAGGAATCACTTAGCGGGTCGGTTGGTAAGATTATGATCATTCAAGAGAATCAAGCCAATCTCTGTGCTGAAAAAATCAATATGTTTTCAATTTATTTATCCTGGACCAACGCTGTGATGCAAAAGTATTAAGAGGGAACCCATCATACAAGATCATTAATATATGAGTAAATTAAAAGGTTGGTCATTGAAAGGCACCTCCCCCACCTCTAAAAGTGATGAGAAGAATGAAGAATATATGAACTTGAGGCAACAACTAGAATAGCTTAAGCTATTTTTGTGATATGGACAACTTCAAGCATAAAACCATACCCAAAAAAAAAGAAAAGAAAAAGAAATCAGCAAATTTAAAAGTTGCGTTCCCAATTAAAAAGAAAGTGCGAGAATGTATTTTAAGTTTGCGTGTCAGCTTAAGTTAGGATTAAACTTTCAAAGATTAGAATTAAAATGCTATCCTCAGCTGTGTTAATCAGAACCAAAATTATGTATTTTTTAAAGCACAAGACTAGATTGACGACGGTAAGCTTTTAAGGATATTAAACGAATGGCAGCAGACACGCAGTTTCTTTATAGTGAATTGAAACCTTTAGCAATTATAAATATAAACAGCTAGAAGAGATAGACAGAAAAGAGTGATAAATATGCATAGAAAGTAAGCCGCATAAATATTCTCATCTGTTCATGTCACTTTTTCTATCCCCGTGATTGTGCAAGTACATAAGACCCAGCTTCCTTTCTCTGATACCTATGCAGTAGTTATGCAAATGCCGAAATAGTTCATCATGGTCGTAGGAGCAGATAGATTGAGTAAAAGAGCCATATCATACATAAATAATCCTAATCCGAGGTGGTACCGGAACCCGGAGGAATCATGAAAGCAAGCAAGTATTCTGAAGGAAAAAAGAGTGATTCGAAATCACGACTAAAACAGTCAATTATTTAGTTGATAACCAAAAAAAAAAAAGAGAAAAAGAAAGCAATATAGCATAGCTAGTAGTTTGTGAGTTATTAATATAAAAAGGGCTGGGTTAGAGATCCACACGCGTAGCAAAAAATAAGAAGGGACCAAGTTGTAACACAAAAAAGTATTTGATTCGTGGTAAGACTTTAAAAAGTTAAAAGCAATTGAAATTGCAGGGCTTGCGGTACAAAACGAAAGGGGAACATCAGCATCAGAAAATAAGTGCTCCGATGGCCGCCCAAAAAAGGGGGAAATTATCAAACATGTGCACCCGCTAAAGGTGGCATGAGCGCGACGCATCCCAGAATCCGTACCGTAGAGGCGTAGACGAGAATTCAGAATCAATCAGCCCTAAACAACACCCCAACTTCATCCGCCACTGGGCCCACCACTGAGAAACCACACATCTGAGACGGTGATGGCCAGAGACTGACCTTTCATTGTTTTTTTTTTTTTATACAAACGAGGCGCAAAGGCCAAAGAGAAAACTAAACTACAAGGGGAATAGATCCCAACACATCTTTATCGCACAACGCCCGTAGATGAGTCGGGCAACTGGTCAACATAGAGGAAGTAGAAAGACCTTCCTTAGCAAGAGCACCAGCAAGCTGGTTTTGGAGCCTAGGAATATGGTTGAAGACAATCTCCCAATTTAGACCCATCAATCGACGAATCTCCAAGAATATCAGGCTGCACGTGTTATGGACATCACCTTTCATTGTTTTTTTATCTCAGTGAAGTGCGCAGATTATTTTTTGGGCCTCAACAGTGCACACACTTTATAGTTTATATCCTCGGTAGTTTTTTTTTTTTTAATCTTTAACTTTGATTGTACGATGACAATTTCAGAGTGACCGTGGTTGCTGACATTTTTTAAATAGCTCCCAAAACATTAATATATATATATATATAATATATATATATATAAGGCTTAGATGAGTTTTAAAAAAGAAACAGATAGAGTGTGTGTTTGTGTGTGTGTCTGCGCGTTTAAGTTACATTGTAAACAGGATAACTTTCTAAAACATTTTTAGATGGAATACAAAAATTGATGTTTAGGTCTTGCTTAAATTTTACTTGATTATTTGGAATGAATTTTCCCTTTTATATTGAAGATAGTTTCCGAACGGATGTAGTACAAGTGACTTGAAAATTATGTCTAACTAAAGTGATAAAACAAAAATTCAGTCCCCAAAAAAAGTGACAAAACAAATCACAGGTTTTTTTTTTTTCGTGTTTTTCTTAAGATGTAGTGTTGATGGATAAGTATATTGTTTTTTTAACCTTCGGTAGATAAGTAGATGAACTCGTTTTTATTTAGGGGCTATTCAGCATATAGAAAAAATAAAAAATAAAAATATAAGCAGATAAAAATAATTTTTATATTCAAGAAGTCCTGCCAGAAGCCGCTTGGGTTTTTCACTTTTTTTTCTCCAGTTCAGATTTTTTCTTGTTTTCCTTTTCCCTGAGCTCAGCTGCGGCAGCTTCAGCGGCTGATTTAGCCATAACGGGCTTAAGAAAGCCCTTAGGAGTGAAAGCCTGGCGAATCTTTAGAACAGCCCACGCGGTCCCCACGGCATGACCCGCAGCGTCCAACCCTTCATTCGTTGCCTTTGCAGCTTCTTCTCCGTATCTGCAGTCACACACATCCACCAGACTCACAGTCCTCTCGCCACCATGCTTGCCTAAATTCACAAAGTGAGCCATCTAAATTAGAGCACAACATAAACCTAGCAGCCTCACCTGTGATTCACAAGGTCAGTTGTCACGGTAGACGTTGTTGACATCACATGTTTTCCAGATACCTCGACCGCATCACACACTTTGGCTGTTTACAAGAAAAGCATCATGTGAAAGTTTAGAATCCAAACTCATTACAGATCGAGATGAGAATCCGACCAAACTTAAATTCCATCAATTCTATCCATGTTTTTTTATTTCTTAATTATTTTAAAGTTGCAATTTCAGTGAGAGCATGTTATTATAGTTCTTAGATCTACTGGTTAGCCTTGTCATCAAACATTTGTTATGTTAATTAATCCCTACTGTTGGCAGAGGATCTTTCTTGTCTTACTTTTCTTCGAAAAAATTAAAATGTCATAAAAGCTGTCCACCATAACATATTTAGATTTTTCCTTTGGTAGAATATATTCAGATTGCTGTTCACAACTAAAAATAATGACTCATGTTTTCTTTTCTATTTTCCATACCGACATGTGGAATTTATGCTCATTTTTTACACACACCCAAAAAGAAAATTTACTGCAGTCAGAATTTGCAGGATACGGGGTTATCTAATATTCCTTGCACTTTATGAAGAGTATTATCTATTTCTTTCCTTCTTTCTTTATTGGCAGATACTTATCTAGCTCTTAGAACTAATGTTACGTGAACACATCAAAACCAGGGAATAAAATAGCTGACATACCAAATCCATCTAAGGATGCAAGTAAAACTTCTTCTGGTATAAGCTTGATAATTTTCTTTCCCGCTTTTGTATTTGCCACAGAACTAGCAAATAGTCCAGAGACTTTCACGACCCCAGAAAGGAGCCCAGTAGCCACCTTTTCTGTCATTCTAGTCACAGACTTAACCCTAAAAAAATATCAAGCCCGAAGGGTAAAATGTCATAAAGTAAATGAGCAAATTGCTCCAGCTATACCAAAGTGAAAAATATCCCCCACAAGCCTAAAGCAGCAACCTCTTAACTTTCTTATCTAACACTAGGATATTAAATGTACCACACAGCAGGATGTAGAAAAGTCCCAAAGCAAATTAAATCTCCTAATAAAATGGCCATATAGAATACGGCAGGATGAAAACTCCAGTTTCTGTAGGCAATTCCAAATCCATCATAGTATCAATTATTGATCTCAGACTTTGGTCCCAATTGCATGATAAAACATACATGCTCCTTGGTCAAAAGAAAAATATCCTGCCACAGGTGAAAAAGAGGATATGGCCAGGGGAACCTTTGGGAGCCTCAAAGACTAGTTCAATGACTTGCTCTGTTTTCTCTTTTCTTGATTCCAAGTTCCAACTCCATTCTTATTTTCAGATTTAATATAAGCACCAAACCATCAAACAGCTGTAGTCAAATATTCGTTTTGATTATTAGAGTTTAGAATATATTTGTTTCGGATACATGTTTAAATGTTGAATTAAAATATTTGTGAAGAATAAAAAGAATCACAAGAATGATTTGCTACTTGCTTTATTCCGAGGAGATAATGTGTGTCAGAAAATCATTCAAATAAAGTTTTTATAACTAAAATGCACAAGAACCAAAAAATATTGCGCATACCTTTTAATCCGCTTTAATGTTTCAGGACTAACTTCTGCGTTTTGACCTGGAGCCATCTTCGTCTTCAAAACCTCATTTCCCACTTTCAACCTCTCCGCCGTCACATCGCCACACCACAATATTCCTTTAATGAGGTGTCCAGATCCTTGCGCAATCAATCTTGCAGCTGTTCCACTGTAGCCCTCCACATTTGGAGCTATTGTGGTCCAATATGCAGCGCATGTCCCCTCCATGAACTCCTTCTTTTCCCCTGAACTCAAATCTGCAGGAGACATTTCCTTAGCCACCGAGGTATCCAAAGCCTCTCCCTTCTTCTTCGCATCCTCAGACACCTCCTGCACGGAGAAGTTGCTATAATTCTCGAAAATCGCATCTAACTCCTTCAACAGAGCCTCCTGCCCCTTGGACGCGATCGTCAACCCATAGCTCAACACATAGCTCGTGACATCCCCTTGACGAACCTCTCCCTCGTCATTCTGATCGGGAAAGAAGAACGAAAAGAAATAATGCGAGTCGTCAACTTTAACAACGGCCGTTTCCTTAGACAAAGACCACTGAATCTTATCAGCAACGCGGGCGAGGACAGCGACGGCGCTGCCGCCCTGGCAGAGACGAATGACCGTAAAATCGCCAGAAGCGAGTATGACGCTGTATTGCTGATCAATGAGGTTCAGAACAGCACCGGGAATGTTGAGAAGAACCTCTCCGGAAGCCGGGAGCACCTCTTCATCGTGAACCGACGGAGGGGCAGAGAGCTCGTCTTCGCAAGGAAATGGAGGAGCAGAGGGCGCGCTGGGAGTATAGTCATAAGGAATTAGGTTTCCGGCGAAATCGCTCGGATCAAGTGAAGGGTAGAGATTGGACGAAGAGGAGGGCGGCGAAGAATTAGGGTTAGGATTTGGAAGTGAAGGTGCAGAAGGCTCAGGTTTCGATTCGATTACCTCCGGGTACATTGACCCTGTACTTTCCGAAGGCTTCATGGTAGCCATTGGCATTGATGAAAGGTCTGCAAGCTCAGATTGGAAATTTGGAAGCGGAAGGGAAGAAATCAAATGACACAGATGGTCTGGATGAAATGGGCAAATTAAGAAACGACACGTGGCAATGGTGTTCTCGACAGTTGTTTCTTTAACTGCCTTGAAAAGCTTCCCGCGTGTATGCCGGTACGGCCGAATGTGTGCGTGTATAATACTCCTCCGGTCCTTATTATAAGACCCCATTTGACTTTTTATTTGGTCCTAATTATAAGACCCTAATCCATTTTATCTCTTATATTTATGCATTTTTTCCAAGATAATCCTTCTAATAATGATAGTTTTAACCAATATACTTAATTAGCAAGGATATTTTAGGAATGACAACACTTATTTATTATAAATAACCAACTTAACTTACTTCCTTAATCTCCTCAAATAAGTCAATTGGGTCTTATAATTAGGACCGGAGGAGTATGAAATAGTTGAACTTTCCTTTTCTTTTTTGCCACCAACTTTCTTTTTCTTTATATAAATCCTATCTTCAATATATATACCTTTTTGGCCAAATATATTCACGAGATGGAATAGAAATCGCGCAAAACATTCAGAAAAATAATTTTTTTTGTTGGAGCAATTTAACACCTGATGGAAAACCTTCTTTCGATTTAAATGTGAAACTTTGTGCTTAGATTGTCCCAAAAAAAAAAGTGACATTATAAGAGGAAAAAATGGCAAATTAGGAGTCATTATCAGGCTTCTATAGGTTCTAACAATAATTGAATGGCAAATACAAATGACATAATACCTAGTTCACAATTTTTTAATTTTATGAATATTTTTGCGATTTTTCTTTATAATAATTCATTTTATTCTCTCTTTATCTATCATCTATTTATTCAAATTCTCATCTTAGTATACTATAAATACACAAAAGCTTCCTTTAATTTAAGCAGTGTGAAATTTTAATTTGTATTTTACACGCAATATGACTTTAACAATATATAAAGTGAACGAGAATAAAATAATAATTGACAGATTTACTTTTGACTTGAAAGAAAATTAAAAAAGAAAAGAATAAACCATTTTGAAAGTTCTCCCTCTTAATATTTTCCCGTTCAAATCAAGTCCTAGTCAATCATAATCGGAAAACCAAAAGAGCAAAATAAATGAGAACAGAATCAGACTTATTTTTCACGTGTCGTGTAAGCAAGATTGTTACAAGGAGCCCTGTTGCTGGGACGCTTACAAACCATATCCTATAATCTTAAATCACATGGAGTCGTTAAAACTTCAACAAGAAAGTGCGTATTTCCATGGGACCAAGCTCGACAATATAATCAGACATGTTGACTGGGTCACCCTTCACTGCCTGAGGCTCTTGACTGTTATCTCCTTCAACCTTCCAACGCAGCTTCTTCATCTCTGACTTCTCTTGATTCGCTGATAAGCTCACTTCCTTCAACTCCTTTATCTGCCAAATACAACACCAATTACCCACAATTAATATTCACAACTTCTCCACAAGAATTGACTAAACTTGCAGACTAATTCCCGTCACAAAAAGCAGAGACGCGTACTTTTTTGTTGGCAAACAGCTTCTTCAGTTCAACTTTGCTCAGACTTGAGTACTCAGCGTCTTCACTTGGCTGACCCCGTAGAGAAAAATATGATAGAAACATCCATAAGATACAGGATGCAGCTAGAATAACTGGGAAAAGCGAAGACTATTGCACTAAAATATGTATTAATACACAAGCTCGATCGTAACAAGCACGGTTCATCTCAAGTTTACCTCATATAGATGAGCCAATCGAAGAAGCACCGATCCATCATCCAACTCCTGCAAAACTTGTGAGTTTGAGATTGCCGGAGAGAGAAAGTATATGACAAGTTCTATAATTGTTATGTGCTGCTTGGCCTACCTGAAGGGTTATCAGTGCAACATTTTGAGGCAAGCTATAGTTTGGATCCACCACTGTTCCTTTTGTCAAATACGCGGACTTCCAATTTTCCAATGTCTGATGAAGTAAAATATTTTAGAAGTTGCGATATGACGATGACACTAAATATGTATGAAGAGGCTACAGTGAAGCCGTACATCATGAGCAAAAGCCAGTAAAAATGGGGAGTAAATTTCCTGGCCAGTTGTACGGCGCCAGCGTGCGCCTGCTCCAAGCTGGTGGATGCTTACATAGTAATTTCCCCTGATCTGATACAAGATTTAGAGTGAAATGATACGGAACAGATCAATCAGCATCTGATGATGGCCACCTTCTTAATGGTTGCAGTTATGTTAAGTAAGACTTAATTAAGATGCATAAATATATAAGTAATCGTCCGTATTGTCATACTGTTAGTCCTTCACATCTGTGTTTTATGCAGACTTGTTCATCGAGAGCTTCAACTCCATCATCAAAGAGCATCCGCCTGAAGTTGTAAAAAGCAACGGTCAATGTTCAGGCGACACGACCGAGTTTAGAACTACAACGTAACTGTACAGGGAAAAGCATCATTCAGGTTAATATTGTACCTGTGAAGCATAAGTTCTACCTCGCCATCTTGGATACTAGCTCCACCCGTGGCACAGTCAACTAAGACTGAGAATTCAGTTTTTTTGTCCCTGATATAAATTCCAAGATTAAGCTGGAAATGGAGAAAGTAAGTTTGAGTTTGGTTTTTTTACCCACAAAATCCAGACTTTCTTAGCTCATTCCCTCTGTTGGGAACTCGTTTTTCTTTACCTCAAGTTCCAAATGAAATTAATAGGGTTAAAATCTTACTGGATAGTAGTTTCCTGCTACAGGTTGGGTAACTTGAAGGGGCCAATCCTCCCTGAAATCACGAACCTACATTGACGACAGAACAAGTCACCGGTAAGCATTGCACGTTTGCCTTTACAGTTTAACAATATTCATAAGGAACATTGTGCATGAGAGTTACCCGTTTCAGAAAATCTCTTCCATTAGAATCAGTATAAAACTCCTTGTTTGTGGCCATATTTGCTGTTATTCGTGTGATAACCTCCTTTCCAACTTGATCATCAGTAGGAATTGGACCGATCTTTAAAAATTAAAATTTCATGAGAAGCCGATTTGTCACTAAAATAACTCCACATTAGGCCATCCTCAACTTACAGTGAATTCAATTTCAGCATGCTCTTTGTCTTTGTAAAGCCTTGTAGCCTACATATAAATAATCCATGAGAAAAATTTAGGAATAAGTCAGAACCACAAAATGTCATGTAAGGCAAGATACTGACCTGGTAAATCCAAGGATTAAACTGCTGTTGAACCTCATGTACTACTGGTCCTCGGATAACCTTAGTAGGTACCTGTATTTGAAACCAAGTCAAAATTCATCTGACATAAAAGATGTTCTGCTAGAAATTTAAGGGGGGAAAAAAAAAACTTATGGAGTGGGAGGAGATCTAGCGAATATGACTGCCTTGTTAAGTTATTTAACCTCATTTCTTGTGTCATCTTATACCCACTAGCCATAAAAGAACCTAGTGCATTGAAATATTGGTGAGTTGACCCATTGGAAGAAGAAAACTTACTGATCTTGAAACAACAGTTGGAGGAGCACCATTAGGTCGGAATATGTACGCGTTAGATGCCTACACATGAGGAAACACACCAATTATATTGACAAATTCTCTGTACTGTTTAGTTTTGTTGTTAGAGTGAGTGCTTTTGTCTTTGAAGCAACATGACGCACCGGACCATCATCGTCACCAGCGCTAGAACCATACCAGAGATAGCTTTGTTGTACCGGTACATCGACCTAATTAAATTCTCAAATGATGAAATATTCTCCATTACATTAACTAAAAAATATCTCAATAAAAAGAAAGTGAAGCTAAACTCATATCAGCAGCACAGCTTGGCCTTCATAGACTGACTTATGCATAGCAATCTCCAATTATGCAAGTAATTAGAAATAATTTCCCGAATATGAACTCAACAAAAGATAGCCGTTACTAATATGTACTTTTACTTGAATAAGATAGAACCTCTATGGGTAAATAGGATTCCACGCATGCCAATTGCAGCATGTAGTTTATCAATATATTGCTGGTACAAGTTCGTTCAACAAAAATTGCCCGCATTCCTCTATGGCGGATGAAGATGCAAAATTACTCACTCCGGTTCTTGAATTATATATCCGTTTGAGTTGTCCAGAGGTTGAAGAAAAAGACATCTTCAGATTTCCTGGTCCGATTTCAATATTTTCTCTCGTGAGGCTACTGCCAGATGTGAAAAGGCCGTTTCTTCTTCCTCCTAACATATTTAGAAAAAGGAGTCAAAAACAGTAATGGAAGGAAGTAGTCTTTACATTCCACCCTGCTTTCACATGATTAGTGCAATGCTCCTCCTTAAGGAGAAAACGACAACGTAAGAACTTCACCTTTCCCTGAAGCCTTAGAAATGAAGTATGTACTCCACCCAAGGGGAGGCACAGACGCCTGAAAAAGAAGCCAGAATTTCGGGGCTTCTTTTGGTGACAACCCTAAATAAGCATTCACATACAATTTTCTCAAATTCAGCGTCACATTATCGATCTCCACTAATTGTGCTGCAAGATTATTCCCTGACGAATCTTTGACAACAAGGTTGGCATCATTGACCTGTTGTAAAATTGTAACCATCAGAATTGAGCAGATATTATACAAAACGTGTAACAGGGCTTTTCCCACCAAAAAAGTGAGAAAAAAGACCCCCCATAATGCAGAGTTTTATGTGAAACTAGAGTCAACTTTATGATATTAGGAGCAAGAGATGGATACTCACGGGAATTTTGATAATGTCGGTACGGTTCCATCCAAGTGGGTTATATACCACTACTACCTGGAAGCAATTATCAATGCATGACACATAAGATTTAAGGAAAATTTCATGAAATTAGAAGAAACTATGAAAATATTACCAAGCTCTTTGCTTGTGGAATATTTTCTTCTGTTATTGGGCAGTAGCTGATATTGAGTAATTGACACTGTCAAAATAAAATTAAAAAAATTAACCCAAAAAAAAAAAAGCAAGACAGTTTGAGAACTAAGGATAACACTACCTAAGATTTAAAGGCGGAATCATCTATTGCTTAACATTACCTGG